TTAAGAGACGGGGGTTGAGGGTTGGGGGATGAAGGGTGAAGGGGGGGGGGTAACTTAGAATTTTCTTAGAGCTGCTGCGACTGATGCTGACGACCGTTGGTGGTTGGGAAGCAGGGGGGGCCCCTGTGGGTCATCATCTCGTGCGGTCGGGTATTCGGACTCGGATGACGTGCCGCAATGCTTTGCGATGTTCAGGTGCACTCGGTGCCCCAGGTAGCGGGCAGTGGACCAGTGGACCAAACCCCCACCCCAACCCGCCCCCAACCCCCACCCCAACCCGCCCCCAGCCCCACATCAGCCCCCGATCCCAACCAGACGTCAGCACCAGCCGTCAACTGCCACTCCAGGGTGAGGAGGGAGCCCCCGTGACGTGGACTACAGAAGGTTTGCCGTACGGCGCCGTACGCCTGGTATCATTCCCCCCTTTCCCCCCTCCCTAACCCACCGCCAACACGGCTTCCTCACTGGCCTTGTCCGTCTCCGTCACCAGGTCTGTAGCGCCCTTGAAGGAGATGGAGCGGGGCCGGTCGAGGGCCTCATGAACGACCTGGGTTGGATTGGAGGGTTTGGGGGGAAGGGGCATCGAGGTGGCTGTCTGTGTGTGTCTGTGTGTTTTGGAAGGGGAAGTGGGGCCCATGTCATAAACCCGCGTGAAGGCGGAACGGACATCATGCGGCCACGCCAGGCGGGATTTGGGGTGGATGATGGGGTGTGTGTGTATGTGTGTGTGTATGTGTGTACGTGTGTGTGTATGTACGAAAGGATAAAACGAATGGGGACCGGGGTGGGGATGGGGGAGAAGGGCTTTTAGGGTTAACCCCAGGGTGAGGTCCCGTGTGTCTGCCTGTCTGTGTGTGTCTCTGTCTGTCTGTCTGTCTGTCTGTGTCTCTGTGTGTGTGTGTGTGTGTGTGTGTGTCTGTCTCTGTGTCGAGAGAAGGGAGAGCAAAATGAACGGTGGGTGGTAGCTAGAGCCATCCCCGTTGTTCTTGAGGCCCACGTCAAGTGTGATGCGAAGGCCAGGTGGAGGGAGGGACAGGTGGGGTAGCTGAGTGCTCATTGTGGGTGGTGGTGAGAAAGAGGGCGCCAGTAAAAGATTTGCAGTGCCTATGTGCTAGGAGTTAACGTGGCTAGCTCTATGGCTTCGGGTGGAGACATGGCTTGGCCATTAGTCGCTGACGCACCCTGGGCCCCTTTCAGCTACGAGATTCTGTGTGTACCGATGTAAGCAATATGTGGCATTAGGAACGTAATTCATGTGGTGCCAGAACTGCACGGTTTGCATTTACCGAAGCGCCCTTCTCAGCAGCGAGAATCGCCACGTCCAGGAGCTCGGATAAAGCCGTCGCGTCCGCCTGTGCTGTTACTTCTTTTGATAAGGGTACTGCGCTACGGTGTGTTCGGGTGCGGCATTTCGCTGCTGCGTGCAGCGACTGCTTAAATGCAGGACGTCCAGGAAAGCAACGCTGCGCGTGATGAAGCATTCTGAGTCCTAGTAACCAAAGTTGAGGACAGCATAGCTGGACGCAGCAACTACAGCTAACCCTTCCGTTAGGTAAGTGGATGCAATATGCTTGACATCCGTACAGTGCGCTTTGAAAAGTCGACTTCGTCAATGCACTTCAACAAGTCTCATCATGATGTACTATAGGTAGATAAAACAAGATGTTTAGCCATCCCCACGAAGATCTGAATCCTAAGGTGTGCCATTTTTCTCAGGTTTACTTGCACTCGTTTGTTTCAAGCTCTTCTGCTCTGGGTTGTTCGCATCGGTACAATACAGCAGTCGTTTCCTGGTATCAAATATGAAAGCCTTTTTTGCATCATCACTGCTTCAGCTTAGTAATCCCGGCAATTGCTTGACGTCGGTCATTACACGGCAAACTGGACGTTGGAGTACTTTTTGTAATCGTGCAGGCCTCATTTAACCAATGATAGTTGCTTGATACCGGCGTCAATGATGGATGAACGGCTAACTCGCTGTTCGGCTGTTGCTGTATCGAGCTTCGGACCCAGCGGGTGTGTATGTCTGTACACGTCTGCTTACGACTACGTTGCAGCTCTGTAGCTTTCTAGCTGTAAACACCTGATAATCTCATCCCCCAACATTTGCACCCGCCGGGGTTGCGTCCTGGCATGGCGGACGGAAGACCTTCCCGCGCCCGCTCCACATTTTGTATTATCTCGGCCAGTGTGACGGCCGTAATAGCAGTTGTGAATCGTAAGGGATGTGACGCAGGCGGTTGCCGATTAGTAGTTGGCCGCCGGCAGCAGCAGTAGCACTAACAGCTGCTGCTGCAGCAGCTGCACCTTGGGTTAAACGAAGAGAGAAGTCGTAGACGTCTGTCTCGCATTATCACGGCTCCCTGCCAAAAAAATGGAGCCCAAGAATACGGATCAGTTCTCACAACTGTCTACCCATGCGAGCAGTGCCAGCAAACAAAGGAGCCGTAACTGATCTCACTCAGCAGTATGTAGGCAGCAGGTGAAGCTGGGCAGAAGGATCAAACGAACTGCCGCAAAATCTGCTCATATAACTTGGAAAGCCGGCTCGGCCCGTGTGAGAGGGGAGCACGATGTGACGTGGACTGGCGCCAACACACCACTGCCCCAAAGGCAGGACTCGGTAGGCACAGGTTGCTTGTGGGGCCATCATAAGGGCCAAGAGAGAGTTGGAAAACTGAACCCTTTAGAGGGCACGGGGTGGGAGCTTTTCAGTAGAAAATAGCTGTCGTACAGTACGGCACACACCATCAAGACATGTAGGTGCTGTGACACGATCTCAGCATGTGTAGAGGCCTTTTCGGCGGCCAGCAGGTACGAAATTTAAAACAGCAGCTCAGTAGTTAACGTTCCTTCTCCGTGTGGAGTTGATGCAGCTGAATTTCCGAGACCTCGTGATGGCGCAATTTGCTTGTCGTGAAGGCGAAGGAGTACGACACCAAAAAAGCATTTGTGTTGTACGACAAGTTTGAGAAAGAGAGGTGCCCAGACATACCTACATATGAGCTAGGCGTTCCAGTAAGGGGCAGGGTTGGGATGGTGGTGCTGACGCCTTCCCCCATAGATGGCCCAGCCCAACCCCCGCCCGCACAGCACGTCTTCCTATGGTACATGAATAAATATAATGAAGATGCGATGACTAATCCAAATAGCCCTCAGCAGCATATCATGTACATGTTTGTCCTGGCCTGTCACAACTCCGCCATCCACTGCTGTATGCCCTCTCTTCAGCAGCCGTCGCTGTTATCCGCACATGAGCCCTTTGCCCACTGTTTTGTCCATCAAGAGCAGGACATATAAAAATCCCCCTTGACCGTAAGAGAGGGTACATGCAACCCCATGCCGAAGGATGGTGACATGGACAGAACGGTTATAGCAACCTGCAAGCCGACCAGGAGAGAAAAGTGGAGGTGACCCCTGTCACGCCAAAACATCTGAAGCGTAGAAATTATGTGCCACGACCGAGTTAGCCATTGACCTGGCGGCAGATTCCACCGAATGCTGGTTGCGAATGCTAAATCCAATAAAAGGTCATTGCCTTCGCAAAAGTCGACACTCATGAGGCGTGAAGACAGGAAGCTTCAACCCCTCCACTTCACACGCAATCATACATTTATACTGTGCACATGGATTTATGCGATATTCGTTGATGCAGACAGACAGACAGACAGACAGACACACACACACACCCAGAGCCGACTATGTAAGATTTCAGCTGCGATGAATAATTCAGCGCTCTCAGGGGCACGTGCTGTTGGGGGGGGGGCCCGGGCGGGGGTTGGGCGGGCCCATTTATGAGGGAAGGCGTCAGCACCACCATCCCAACCCTGCCCCTTACTGGAACGCCTAGCTCATCAGCAGAGCTGGCTGGGCGTACCATCAGCTGTACCAATGCAATCATTTACGTTCTCTCACCACCGTTCTACACTCTACCGTTCTGCACTCCACCGTTTAGCTGTTCTGCTGCCTATGTACCCACTCCCGAGCACCCTGCGGTGGTGGTGCATGTTCACGTTCTCGAAGAAGCTCTCCTGTTGCCAAAGGCACATATCCATATGACTATAGCACAGCGGCTCCTTCCGTAACATGAGTGCCGTGTTGCTGAAGCCTGACTGCGAAATCAGCAGGCACTTGGCACGACTGAGAACCAGCGCATCCGCCAGAATATCGATGTATGCATCTAATTGAGCGTTGCCCATGTCCACATGCTGTGCGATGGACGGAAGTGTGGTCACGCCGCGGCCCATCGCGCCGGAACGAATCCATTTCCTGAAGGGATTGAGGTCGGTGACCAGGAGCAGCGGCTCTGTGACCGCGTTCAGCAGCATCATGGCGCGTGCGCAGTTGATGCAGGATATGAGCTGCTGGAGGCGCGAACGAAAAAACTGCGTGTTCTCAGCACGTATGATGCCCGTCTCGCCATGCTGGCCGCCAGTGCGCCAGTGCCAGGCAACAAAAGCAGGCGCCACAGAGCCTGATTGCAGCGAGTAAGCAGCCTCCAGATTAGCCTTGGCCTTGGCCTCCACAGCCTCGGAGGGTTTGAAGGCGAAGTGCCACCAGCAGGAGCTGATGTCTATGTACCAGGTGAACTCACTCGTCCAACGCTGCTCCTGCTCGTGTGGCACACCGCCAAGGGGCCCCAGGAGCGTCAAAAAGCCGTTGGGGGGCCACAGCGTCGTGTTCCAGACACGATGGTCGACGATTGACGCTGGCCAGGCGGTGGCTGTGTGTATTGTCGTGGTCTTCCAAAGCTCCAGATTATTGCCCCACTCAGACAGGCCGAAAAAATCCCTGTCCGGAAATGTGTTGTGTGCTTTGCCGATCCTGGAGATGACTTCTGTGGGCAGGCCTTCCGGCCGCCAATCGATCTCGTTGGGAGACAGGAGAACTGTCAGGTTGACGGGGTTGTCCCATTGGGCCAGGAAGACCATGCGGTGGACAGCGGCGACTCGCAGCATGTAGAGCATGCCACGAACTCGGTCGCCTGCGCATAGAGAGACCATCATATAGATGACCGGATCGTCTTACTGACGTGTATATATATAGACAAAGCGCGATCTGTTTTGTTTTTTTCTAGTCAAGACATGTGGCCGATCGCATGGGTCGAACGCCGCGGGAAGCATAGATTTAAATGCGAGCTGTGCAATTAACTGCGGCACTTGGCCACTAACGTTCCGTGGACATGTAAAGGTAAACCCATCACTTAGTGAGCCGGTGGCGGGACAGCCAATATGTACTCCCCAGACCATTTTGCCCAAACTCGAACTTGAATTGCCACCTCATGTTACCTATTAGGTGTGTGTATGAGTGTGTATGCGTGTGCGTATGTATGTGTGTGTCTGTCCGCAGTAAGCCCCATCTGAAACAACTTTAGCAGCCCCGCCAGGATGTAGATGAAACAGTCGTGTCTTCTCCACCTGGGGACTGCACCGCCGCTGCCTCCTCCCTGCAAAACCGATGCCGGCGGCTCCTTCCACACGCACAACTTAGACCGCAAAACCCATGCGCCACCACCTTTTCCCAGGCAACGAGAACTGAAAGGCGCGAGCGACGCGCGTGCATCTATGTACTTAGCTGGTACTTAGGGTTCGTACTGGTTGCCTGACCTGTTCCACGTTTGTAATCCCCCTTAATCGGTCTTAACTTAATGCTTCACATCCGCATGATGACTTCCTGAGTCCCCAGCTTTATATCCACTTCCATTTACTAGGGATTACAGCGACCATCCACCGCGCATGAATCGCCCTACAGGTCGTACGGAGATCCTATAAGGAACATCATAGCATAGCTACGGTTGTCCGTATACTGGTGTATGATTGTCCGCATACGCGGCTTGTTAGCTGCAGGTTGCTGTTGCATAGTGGCCGTGCTGATCGAACCCTTTTGCCCAAGCCGATAACTAACTCAGCATTACTCAACTGAGCAACAAATGCAGCAACACCAGGCAGGAACTTAGGGTTTAAAGATGTCTTTCCCCAAAACTGTCCCGATATATAGCGCACGCGCATGTTAGCTTGCTAAGAGTTCACGCAGGGCCTGCGTGTTGCTGGTTGCCAGCCATCAGTGCAACGCAGCCCAGGTTTGTACATAGAACGAAACGTACAACAAAAACATCATATGGCGACGGCTGGCGCTTACAATACTGGATGTTTGCTTACCTGTGCCTGCGCACAAATCTTGGCCAGGTCCGCAATAATAGACCAGATATCGAGCTCCCGGAGCCCCTCGGTTAGCTTTGTGGAACTCACGATACTCATCCAACCATGACGAGCGCTCTTCCTGACACAATGTTTCGTTGTAAGCAGCAACGAAGTAAGGGACGACGAGTACTGCTGCGAGCCCGCCAATCGCTATGAGGTTCATTCTCCTAGGAAATCTTAGGCCGGCTTGCATCGTTTAATATACAAATCAGGTGGTGTCAAAAGACCCCAGTTCTCACGAATCTCGAACCTCATAGACGTCATCTGTACGGTAGACCGTACTTAGCATAACGGGCATACTTTACAGGCCCAAAGCCTGTTTTCAATCCCCTCTTGGGTAATAACTTACGATCTGTAGAAGTGCAACGGCGCATGCACGTTACGCAGCTGCACTGTTGCTGTACACTGTGGTCCGAGCAGCGAAACCGCGGAGCAACTTGATTGCTATCTTTATATAAACGAGTTTGTTAAATTGTTTATAATATCCGGAGCAAGCGAAGATTGCGGAGGGATACTCGCAACATTCATTGCAATGAATGACTAATAATAAATGGATGAATGAGTGACTGATAACTTAGGTTAATATATCTAAGCGACTTTTAACCATAAGCAAGGAAGATTCCCACGGAAACATGCCAAGCGCCACCCTCATAACTTTATTGGTAGAGCGATCAAATTTGTGCTCATTTCAACCTCAATTTTGTTCTTTTTCTTTCATGGCGAGGCCATGTTGTTGCTGGTATGGAACAAAATCTCCGTGCAACGGCCGCCTGGCCCAGCGGCCATGGCTCTAAGCGCATTGGGGACATCTTAACATCATGGAGTTTCACGACATTATTTGCAACTGTAGCAGCTGCAATGGCAACGGTTGCCTGGTGGACTCCGTCACTTGGTACCCAGGAAGAATCGTGAGGGCCGCAAACAGGCTTTTGATGCTATCGCGGCAGCGACGAATGCTGATCCCAACGACGTAAAGGCAGAGTTAGAAAGGATGGCTCAGCCTGTTGATGGAACGACTTTTTTCCAGCGTACCTACACGGCAGCGCGTGCCGTGTATGCGAACCTTCGGGCACAAGCTAACCGTGAACCGACGACAACGACAGCGGTTCTCAGCTGTGCGGATGGAGGGTCCTGGTGACATAATGGAGGGTCCTGGTGACATATGTGTAAATTCACAATGTGACAGCGTATTCAGTGGTGGTCACAACAAACAGAGCTCGAAAAGGAAGGTCGCTCGAGAGCCGTAAGAGTTGTTACCCTGGACGGCATTGTCCATGGTGTTCTTCAAGAACGCAAGATAGGCGGTTGTTGCGGTGCTGCGTACCTTCCTTCGTATTTCACGGCCAACGGGATCAAGCACTACTTTACCGAGGGGTATTCTTGGGCCCAACATCCATATACATACATACATACATACATACTAACCCAGAGAGGGATGTGCTGGGGAAGGGATTTGTTAAACGAATTACATCAATCCATATACCTCATGCATGAAGCTTCTGACGAGCGGTTTGCCGAGTTGTATAATGCCACGTCGGCCACTCAATCTGGGACCGACATGTGCTTGGATACGACTGGGACCTGCGGCCACCTGGGGTGTGCTGGGAAGTGGGGCTAGTGGGAAGTGGGGCTAGCGGACATCGCCAGACACGAACATGTATAATTCGTAAGCCTGGGCTTCCTTTTAATCCCCCTGACGCAATCCTGCAGTATGTTCCTTGCCAAAAAAGATTGCACAACGATTCTCATAACCGGTTGTTCTTTTCCGCTGTAACACCCCATCGGAACTAACGTTCAAAACATTTTTGATATCGTTTCAGGCAGTGTCGTTCACCTGTTTTCGAGACATGTACTGTATGGACTGGGGCACCCGTGCTCACAAACATAAAAGATTGCATCACGCTATAGTGGGATTTACTTAGGCAGCTAGGGTTACTAAAATCACGGTTCCGAGCAGGACCGGTCAAATTGCCCATATTCCAGCAATGAGCCGACCAAGCTGATAAACGATTTCGCGCATTAAATTACACCCACTCTTACTATAACAATGGTTTGGTACCTTATTAGCAACCTGTCGTATGGTTCCGGCCGGCCGGCCGGTCGGGGCCGGGGCCTGGCCGGGGCCCCGCGGGGCGCTTAGTGGAAACACCTGTTTACTAACCACACACAAAGTCCACATTAAAGATAATGTTGAAAAGTTAGTGTGCGGCCAAGTGGAAACACCCTGCATTTTCTTAGTACAGCTGTACTAAGAAAATTCGTATCGCGGTGACGGCTCGATTTTTTCGCTCATGGGATTAGCGGACATATGCAGACCGGATTGATTCAAACACGTTCCACAATATATATTTTGAACCTGCATTGGGTGCGGTGAGCCTGAATACCTTCATTCAACAGCCCGGGGTTTTGGTAACTTCCATGTCCTATTTCTTTACAAATAGTAGTTGGTGGTGGAGTATCCTTAAAATCAAAAGCTGTTGCAAAAGATGTTAGTATACACGATTATGCAGAAAGTGTGACGAGTTGTTTGCAAGGAAGTAGAAAATGTACTGAACATTTAACGCATGATCTCGGAATAACTTATACTAAATTACATTCAGACTATTCAAAGCACGCCTCAGGCTCACGCCATTCAAAGGTTTACAATGAAAATTTAGCGTTGTAATATTTATCACAAGATAGATGGCAGCGGCGAGGAAGGTTGTTAATTTTGTCGGCCTAGGGGGAACCCGCACCTGTATGGACTGGGCCACCTTCCTGTGTCGAGATATAAAGGAATCATGTTGAAAATAGATTGAAGTAATAGTCTGGGTGGATAGCCGATAAGTATTAGTCATGAACAAAGGACCCGATCCGCTGACCTTCAGTAAAAGTTAGGAGGCATTGATAAAAAAGTCGATTTCAGGTGAATCAGCTATAGCGGGCCTAAATAGAGGGCGTGTAACTCATGTCGTCTCACGTCTTGCGGTGTACGATTCTGGAAGCACGAAAACGGGCATGTATAGTATGAAACGACAGTCTTAGCCATGCCGTGGCGCAGACGGACTGAACCGAAAAGGCCCCCGACCGGTGCTTGGAGCGGAAAAAGGGATGAATACTCAGCACACATACTCTGCAGCAGCTGCTGGTTGGCGTGCCGTCACCCAAGGATCTCTTTTTTGTTTGAACGCGTGTACCATGGCAGGAGACGGTGCAGACAGACACCGTACAGCTCAAGGTTACAAATGTCATTTGATGTCACAGCTTGGCGTGGCCGTCAGCGCGCGGCCGAAGTATTTACCAGGATCACACTTTTTTGCAAGTTTGGTATCCTCGCGAGAAGTGGTCGTGACAATCAAGGGCAACCTCAAGGTCAGAAATGTCATCCACAGCCCCAGCACCGCCGCTGCCAGCCGCACTGCTGCCGCCATCAGCACCACCGCCGCTGCCACCAGCGCCAGCACAGTTTGGCTAAAGAGTAAGATAGCTCAAATTTGCTGTTTGGAAAAAGCAGCTACGTGTAACACTGGTGACTGGAGGCGGCTGGCGTGACCTAGCCTATACGTAAAGCTGCTGCGAAAAGTAAAAACCCCAAAGCGACGACAGAACGGCTGTAGGTAGCCAACAAACCGATTTTACTTGAGTGAAGAGTTTTGAGACTAAGAAAGGCTTTACGGCTGTGTGAGCTAGCTAGCTCAAGCTTGAGAGATCCACACATGAGTTCGGCTGGCTGAGAGATGTATGTATACGACGACATGTAATCCACAAATGACAAAGGTCAAGCACAATTTCTCAACGTGACTAACGCCCACACAAGGAAGAAAGAAATAATTTGCAAATAGGATATCTCAACGTGCGTAAACGAATTTGTCTTCGCACCTACAAAACGATAAGCGCAGCGCAGCGAACGTAAGGCGACTACCAAAACGCCTTACAGGTCTGACGCGTGTGAGCAACGCATTGACTACGCATATTCACACTGATACTAACTAAGACGACAAGAAAAAACGGTAAAATGAACGTGGCAATAAAGTTTTGTGACACCTCACAGGAGGAGCCTCCGCGTGTATGTGTGACATCCAGGCAGAGGGTTGCGGTGCAGCTAAATAAGACGTCACCGCTTCCCTGCTGTTGTGGCACCTATGCTGCCCTGTGGCACCTAATAATCCTTCAGCATCATCCCGATTCCACGGGCTCGCTACTCACAGAAACGGCACTTAGCCATGTGGATACATGCAGCGATACCTGCACTCATGACGGCCAATACCACCTCTCTTCACCAAAGCACGACGCACAGCAAGAGATGCCACAGCTTGTTTCAGGAGGATCCTCCCGTGCAACTAAGGGCCTGCACCCATCCTCCCCCAATCAACGAATGAGTACCGTGCTTGCCCGCCAATCATGCTACATCAGGGCAAGGCTGTCCATCACCTGGATGGGGCGGGTGGGCGCAGTTAACATGCGTTCCGCGCCCTGGCCATGTATGATGTTGTTACAGGGTGGTATAGCTTCACCAGCGCCCCCCTTTCCCGAGGTAGTTCCCTGCTCTCCCCTGCGAGAGGGGCACGCTAATCCATTCACCCCATCCGACTTCAGAGTGCATTATTTGGGTTCGGCAACTCAGCACCAGCATCCAACCAAATCTAGCGGATCAACGGCGCCTCAACTTAGTTCCTGGTCAGCTCGCAAGTGCCCTGTATGCAGGTGCCCTGGCCCTTCATCTGAGAATCCTATTTGACAACAGTGGCTATGACCTGAACGGATCATAACGATCTCCGGCGTTAAAGCACAGATTTTGGAGAATACGATTAAGAAAACATTGCGAGGTGTGGGGTTTGAACCCACGCAGTCGTACGACCATGAGATCTTAAGGCTCACCCCTTCGACCACTCGGGCAACCTCGCATTGTAGATGAGGATAATGCTTTACAAAACAATATTATATAACTCCATTCCACGTGTTGCACATCCTCAGCAGAGTTGAATTGAACACTTTAGGCAGGAGAGCAATACGCCAGCACACAGCACCCAAAAGCTCCTGGTATGTTGGTATACGGTTTACTTGGTCTAATCGGCGGGAAATCAATAGCCGTCGCCCCTGCTGGTTAAGATCCAAGCGGGTCTGGCTGCTCTGTCTCTCGCGGCAGTACCTTTCAGTAGTCCTGTACCCCGGCAGTAGTGGCATGCCACAGCAGGCTGGCATGCAGGCTTTCATATCGATGTTTGTGTAGATAATACCATCCACATGCATGCCTCGGAGCACAGCGAGGCACACTAAGGTATAGTCGTGCCGCATGTATGTGGGGGCGGCATGCAGTAATATGCGGCAAAGACCCCGTTATACTTAGTTACACCCACTTCTCTTCAAATGGTCTGTGGCCCAATGCCGGGTGCGCATGCAGCAGGTGTGCGCCCGCATCTTAATTGGCTTCAGACACAGGCATTTATGTTGCCGTACTAATGAAATCAAACTGGTCCGGAGACACTACTGCAATTAAAAAATTGCGGTGTAAGGTTCTGGGTTTGCTGCCCGGGTAGACCCCTTGCATTGGCTATAGCCGTCGTCAGCTAGCTAGCTGCTGAAATCTGGAGTTGAGGTCACAGTTGATGGACCGAGATACGCAGGCAAAATTGGTGGCGACTGCTGAACCCTCTGTCTCTGCGGATATTCGGGACGGGGACAGGAATCTCATCGGAAAGGATGAGGACGGATCCTAGAAGGTTGAATCAACTGCCTTGGACTTGCGGTTCGTGTGGCGTAGTACAGTGTGGTGATAGTGGATGGTGATGTATGCTTAAATTCAATCCTATTCTTTATCAATGGATCTAAATTGGAAGAAATAGAATGAAGGTTTTAGATGACAAATGGGCCATAAGCCTCCCACTCTGTAACAATGAATGGGATGAAGAGGGAGAGTAGGTGACACCGCCCGGCCAGGGACAGAAGAGGAGGGTTCTCAGTGTGGTGAGCGGGAGCAGGCAGTGTCTGTGAGCCGTGCCTCTTTCGGGCTTTATAGGGGGGCGCCGCGCTGGCTTGTCATTCCCCCCGGGCAATAGGTGTTTTTGTTTTGTCTTGCGCTGGGCTGCGCCAGGGGGAGCCCGCAACCCCCAGGAGGAGACTGCCGTGCGGAAAGAATTTTGCCTCGGTTGTGAGTGGACCGGTGAGGTAGTGGTGGCCGTCCTCGGGAGACGCGCGTTGCTTGTGGTAGTTGAACAGCTGGCCTCCAGGGGCCAGCGTGCGAGTGCTCGCTTTGTGTTTGGTGTCTTTGTGCAGCAGCGTCTTGGCTTTTGTGGTGTGGCGCCTGAGGCCCGTGGTCCTCCGTGTATCTCTTGCCTTGCTGGCTGCATGGGTGTCCTTTAGGTTTGGCAAGAATACTACATCTGAAAACCCAAATAGCATAGTATAGTAAGAAATAGTACTATATATAGTAATGTAGTACTATGATACTATTACTAGGCAGGTGCACGCTCCCCGTAGAAGGGGGGTGTACGGCCAACCGTTGTACCTGAAAATTACACCGTGGGAAAGGTCTTCTTTTGTTCTTTCTAAATACCTACTTAGACATTAGAAAGCAGATCGCTGCGGTCATCCAGATCACTTTTTGTTAGTTCAGTGCCCGGTGGGTGGACCCCAAACCCCATGTCTCAAGGCATGTTATGGCACATAAAGACATAATCACAGATAGAAGACCCAGTGTTCACAAGACAACACACGGACGTCATATTAGTGAAATTCCTGCACTACAACCTCCCGTACGGCCCAGTACGTAACCCTCCAATTCGGCAAACTGCAGCAGCTCAATCTATCATAGCTCAGTCATCAATCTGCGTGTTAGGGATGTACGGCACACCCTCCGGGGTCAACATCGGCAGCTGCGCGTTTCCCTGGCTGATGTTGCTGGCTCACTGACGCTGCACGCTGCTTGAGAGCCTTGCAAGCACCTTGCTTGATGTGGTGCGCGTTGGTGAAGGATGGGTTCGCGGCGCTGAGCGGCTCATCGCAGAACAAGCAGACTAGCTTTGGTAGACCACCCCACCACTCCACATCGAAGTTGTCCCAAAGACCAGCCGTCTTAGCGTTCTTCTTCTGGTTGCGTAGCTTGTTGAACAGCTCGTTCCGAGAGCGGAGAACGTCAGGGGGGACGTCTGGGCCAGGCTGCAAGCCTCTGATCGCCTTGTCATTCTTTATACTGAATTCCCTTGACATTATTCATCAAAACTACGTAGCACAGCTCGAAGACGCGGCTATAGCCCTTCAAAATACAGCTTGACTGCAGATCTCAGCTTGGTCCAACTAATACTTGACACTATCCAAACCCAAATCTAGTGCTATCTAGTATTATTTTTACTATATTATTTTACTATGTACGAACGCGGTACGAGCGTCGTAAACTAGTGCAAGTTTAGAGCCCTGCATAGTATGTAGTACTATTTCTAGTACTATTCTAGTATGGTACTCTTTTCTAGTATAGTGCCCGTGCCAACCCTAGTGTCCTTGGCTAGGAGAGTCTTCTGAGGGGCCGCGCCTGGCGTGGGTAGGTCTTCCCTCGCCTCGGCTTTTGAGTGTGCAGTGGAACCCCCTGATTAGAGGCCCCTGCCCCCGGTGGCATTTTCTGTTTGATCTTGTTTTGGTGTTCTAGACGGGATCGAGCGCGCGATTGGGCTGGTCAGGCGAAGTGCGGGCAGGTAGCTTGATTAGGGATCCCAGAGGTGGTGTGTTTAGGCCTGGTCAGCGCCAGGCACGCAGAAACGCTCCAATTCAAGGGTGACACTTTTACATTTGCGCCATACACATACCCACCTCACATTGTCCAACATACTACATTGTAAATAACAGCCGCCTGGTACGAGTGGACGCGCAGCAGCAACAACAGCATACAACAGCCTTCGAGACGCCAATGACATTGCTCTGCACATACGAGCAGCTGTACCTTTCCATTCAGTACTACAGGGGCTGCTGCACTAGCACAGCACTTCACCGAAAAAACTGAATAGCAGTGCGTGGTGCATTATCGATTCGCCGCCAGTGGTTAATAATAACTAGCTTAGCCGTACATGTACACGTTCACGCAATTATCCAAAGGATTGATCCTCAAATGCATCTGACGGTGCATGACGATACAAACCTTGCATACAACATGTTTCGGCGTGGATGTGTTACCTTTCGCCTTCTTCCCGCCATATGTGATGATTCAGCAGCAGCGGCAACACCCACGCACCTCTTCATAGTGGGCGGAGTGCTGCTGGCTGCATTAGTTCAACAGACAGGCCAATTCAAGCCTCATGTCCCGTATACGGAAAACATGCTTTGCACGCACACGCACACACGTGTCCATACTTTGCAATATACACCAGAGCGTATTTTTTCTATGCATATGGTCCATCAAGCGAGTGTGCGTGGGTCCATGGTGATATTCAAAATTGGTGTCGGTTTATTATTAGTTACGGTGTGTGTGTGTATGTGTGTGTGCTTGCTGGCTGTGATCACCATCCAAGCTGTGATATGTACAGAGCAAGCTGGTATGTACGCCTCACGAAGGCGCCGGCCCACCCGCTGCACCTAGCAGTCCACAGAGAGTGGCGGTGGAGCGCATTGCTACCGGTGCCCCTCTCGATGTGCTGTGTGTTCCGCGTGCTGCTTTTGATGCTGCTTTTGATGCTGATGCCTTTGCGTTGAGATGGTTGCCCTCGGCCTTCGCCTTCGTCTTCTCCCTTCGTCTGCAACTTCGCCTTCGTATTTGCCTTTTCATTCATCAACTGCCGGTCGGGCTTTCGGACTTCATTTTTCTGCGGCTTGCCCGTACTTGTCCTTGCTGGAGGTGCCTTCTCCTCCCAGTCTTGTGGCCAGGGCTTCAGTCCCATATGTGCGGCGGTGGAGAGGAACAGCTGATCCAAGTGACTCAGAGTGCGACCGAAACTGTGCATGTGCGTGCGTTGGGAAGGGGGGAGGGTGAAGGGGGAGGAGGTGAAGGAGGTCAAGGGGTTGGATGGAGGGCAGCGAGACGCGGACACGCAGGGGGTTACAGTGGCCGGGTGTATGTATGTGTGTATGTTCGTACGTGTGTGTTTTGCTTGGATCCAGTGGTGCCAGAATAGGAAACGTGGTGAGGCGAGGGCGAAAGTTGTTGAGGGGGAGCAGGCCAAGAGATTGAGAGGACGGATGAGGGCAGCAGCGCATCAAACGGACAGGCTGTGGGTCAAGCAGCTGTGACGAGAGGTGCTTTGGAAGACGTATTACGGCAGCCGGGGTCCTAAAGGGCCCATCCAGTACCAGTACCAGTGCCTAGCATGCTGAGTTGCTGGATGTACGCATGCAGGGCCGCACCCTCTTTCCCCTGGCAGCTGCGCTCTCTCACCAACAACCCCCTCCCCTTTCCATGCTGTAAAATTCGTACCTGTACCACCTCTTGTCGTACACCTGCCGTGCAAACAGCTCCGTCAAATTGCCCACTTGGCACTCGTTTAGATCCAAGCCCGACTGTCGGACCAACAGCTCTGATGACCACACGTGGACCTGCCGTACCACAGGTTACAAGTACGGCACTAAGTTACGGCACCAATTATGCCTGCGGGGCTTCTCTCCCCCCCCATGGTCTTGTCCCTTCAGTACCATCCCTTTTCCACGTCATCTCTCTTGCCTTTTCATCTCTCTTGCCTGCCCCTTACCTATTCCCCTCCCTCCCCCTTCCCTCCTCCTTCCCTCCC